GACAAGACCTTGATCACCTCCAGCCTGAAACAATACAAACGTCACATGGATTAATTAGTTGTAAGTGACAAAATTATGATAACCTGATTCAAGCTTCGAGTCTTGCCAACAAATGGCCTTAATTTAATAATCTCCTTCATGACTCCCTTCAATATCCAATTAATCTCAAAAAACCTGACAACATACTTGAAAAGAGATTAATCACATATAGATCAAGTTATATAAGAACTATAATATCAATCTTCCGCCACAAGGATATCAACACGTATGAGAAAACATGATGGAGCTAATAGATTCAAAATGGAAACACTTTAAACAACACAATCGCTTTTAATTCAAAAGCCAAAATTGTGATATCACCTAAATGCTTTCTTAAGTCAAACGGGTTCCTTTCCTTTTGTACCTTTATTTCCGTAGTACAAGACTCCTAACCATTAGCATCAAAATCATGCATTAGCCTTGTAAATACCAAATTAAGTAAAGGAACAACCAAAATTCTTTTCTTCCAAAAGAAAAATCTCCAATACATGCCATACATTAGCCTTGAATAATATCTTTTCTTCTCCCCTGATGGCACATAAAAATTTGACTCATCAAAATATTGTTTAAATTTTTTAGGCATAGGAAAAACTAGCAAACTATATACAAGTTTGAAAACTTATGCTTATCAATTTTAGTCATATGCTTTGAATGAAATACATACATATGTTCACCACTTCTTTATAAACATATATATAATCACATGACCAACCATAATTCTCATATAAATAGATAAAATACAAACGAGAATTGTCACATAATTACTACAAACCTCATTCACTTGTATAATGTTCTTGTTCTTGCCACCAGATGCTTTCTGTCACTCTCAGTCAATCCACAAGTTATGCATCAATTTCATAGTTAACTAGTCATGTACAATTAGGGCATGTTTGTTTGCCCTCCTTAGCCCTCATTGGATTGGACTAGACTAACATCTAGTCTAATTCTGTGTTTGTTAGTATCAGGGATTAGCATTAGTGGGACTAGGAGGGACTCACGTTCACTAAAGCCTTCACTAAAGGGTCTTAGCGAGACCCTCCAAAAACAGCCAGACTGCTAAGACCAGCTTTGTTGGCTCCTCTAATCCTCTGTCGATCTCGCCCTTTCTGCTTTCAGACCCATGGATCTCGTCCTTCGCACATCAATAGCAACAGTGGTCTCGCACTACAGATGCAAGAAGGCAATCTCACACTGCAAAATCAGGACAGCGGTCTCAACCACATGCTCCAACTGTAGACCAAACATCTTAACCTTTCAAAGAATTTAGAAACACGAAAAAATGAAAAGAGAAATTGACGAAGTAAATCAAATCAAGGGCAGATATAGGCTTTCCTAAAGCTCATATATGTTGAAATGGAGATAAAATGCTACTAAAGCAAATGGTTGAATAAAAGAAACATCTCAACATTTCAACAACAACGATTGAAAGAACAAAGCCAGGCAGTAATAAATGGATCAGAGGGAGAAATAACCCATCAGCTTGTTTCTAGGGAATGTGAAATTTTGCAGAAAAATAGTTTTGAAGGATCTGAAATGCAAAAAAAAGATGGAGAAACGAAGAGAATATGACAGGGTCAAAGAGGGAGAAAAACAGAACAGTTTCTAGGGAGAGGGAGAGTTCTTAAGAAAATGAAAAATGTTGCATAATAAAAAAATATTAATAAGTATGTATTAAATAATGTAATATTAAAGTTTATTATTATTTTGATTTTTAGTCCAATATTGCATCAAACGCTTAACTAAGCTAGTCCAGTTGAGTCTAGTCTAAGCCAGTCCAGCTTAGTCCTTGAAGCTAGTCCAGTTCGAGACAGTCCAGTGCAACAAACGCATCCTTACATGACTATACTGAGATAGGAACGCAAACTTGTAGACAAAACTAATTTTGATTAGTCATGCAGATTCCTTATGGAATTAATTAATATGACTAAACATTACTTGAATTAATCCCCAGTACATAGTGTTTATATTCTGGACACAACAATAATTTTACCGCATGATTAGTGCTAATCTGCCAGATTTATCATATATTTATGTCTTTGCATAGGATCATCTCAAGCAATATAGGACAACTCAATCCCCTTAAAAAGAAATATGCCATATGTCATTTTGCTACATGTTTGCAAAACTTAAAATTTTAATCCATATTGATTATTTCCAACAACAACCAATGACATGGCTATTACATTCGGTCTATATATGTTTCCTACACATTATCATGTAACACAACTGATTGAAAATATTTCCATGAATTTATATTACCCATGAAAAACAGAGCAATAGACTTACTCATGTACTAGTGCCGAAACACCCAGACTATTTTGACAGAATATAGTCTCAAAAACAAGTAAAATAATTTATGCATATTTACATATGCTTCTCAGTATGCTTTTCATATGCATATAAAAATTTATCATGTTCAAAGCATATATTTTCTCTTTGTTATAATTATCAAGTTCAAAACTTAATAATCAAAACTAACCATATATGTGATCGACTATTTCGTACTTGACATATATAATGATCAACACCATTTGCTTTGGTAGAGTACTTTACCTAGCTTGCTGAGTTGAGACGCTTCATCAATATTCCTTGGCAAGGTTAGAACAAAAGTATATATTTGCATATGCTTACAAAATTGACGACGACATTAGCCGAAAGTGGTTGTATCTGTCACTAAATTTATTCAACCAAAACCATTAGCATGAAAGTCGAAATAGAAAACTTAAAGCATGCCATATTCTTTCAGTCACGATTAATTTAGTAAAGATGAACAAACTGTACCAATCTTTCTTTATGAGAACTGAATACGAGAAAGAAATCTTTAAGTGCTTGAAAACCTACCATTCAACAATTATTAGTTTACCAATTTAAGAGTGACATATCAAATAGCAGAATATGTGATTCCAAGGAGATGAGATTCCCTGCAAGTCAAGCGCATCTTTCACAAGGAGATGTGTTATGATTCCCTGCAAGGCTGCACGTGCCTTGGTAGGTGATGTCTATGACTTGTTGTCGTCCGTTGGACGATGGTGTCTCTGTGTCTCGGCATGGTTCATTGGTGTTATTAGAGCGACGATGACTTCACTTACTAGCAGCCAGCCCAAGGGGGCAGGCACAATCGTAAGCCCCGTCGGCCTCTGCTCTTTAACCAACCTCCATCTTTGATTTTTAATATTTAACTAACACTTGAATTTAGGATAAAAAAGGAACTGATCATAGAATATGTCTGCACATATCATATGTACGCCAAGGACATGGAATCACACTTGAATTTAAGACCAAGATTCAGTTTATGTACTTTGTAAAACGACTATATGTATAGTCGAACTTAATAGGTTTTAATTATATAACCAGAGGTTCTGATACCACATGTAAACTTTATGTGGTTATATAATTAAAACACAAACAAGGAGTTGGCTGGCATGATCGTGAAGCAACAGCCTTTGGATACCAAGCGGAATGATGTAGGATGCGGCAACACCAAAGTCTTTTACAAAGCACCTAGCCGGATACAACAACTTTATGGGAAGCGTTTGTTGTATATCTAGGGTTTGCAAGGACCTTAGTATTTATACTGGCTAAGGTATTAAGGTTCCGTCCATAAAGGAATCCCAAATCCCACCTTTTTATCCTATCAGTTAGGTATCATAATCACATAAAATCAAGGATTCCATCAATCTTACTTATATTACAAGACACCTAATATAAGATTGATATCTTTAGGAAATCAAATCACAATATATACATTAATGTCTAATATTACATTCCTAATATATATTGTAGATCATTTAAGGTTGATTTACATCAGAATAAATCCAACAGTACTTCCATGTCGTTGCCCGCGGATTACCGTGATTGCTTTATTAGAAATCTGCACGATGCGTTATCGTGACACACTTCTGTCAATGTTGAAGAGGCAGTTGCCTACTCTGAGCATGGTGCTACTAAATGTATTAGAATGACCATTGAAACTTGAGTTTTTAGTTTATTTTCGAAGCTGTTAGTTTCTCATTCTTGTGTTTAACTTGGTTGACACTAATTTTAGTGTACCATCTAGTTTCCAGTTGATCAGAAAGTTAACGAAGGTGATTGTGAATTTTTATTCTGCAGGAGGCCAGATTATTGCCTTGGACCTCCGTTGAGACAAATGCTTTCTTATGGTTGTACAAGACTAGAGATTGGATTTCAGAGTGCATACGAGGATGTGGCTCGGGACACCAATAGAGGTCATACTGTAGCTGCAGTGGCTGATTGTTTTTGCTTGGCAAAGGATGCTGGTTTTAAGGTCAGCCTAGTACCTTGTCATAAAACTCACTTACCTTCACCGTGGGAAAAGAACGGATTTTGGACCTTTTATATCTACAGTGTCAGGAGATTAATCTTTCATCAAAACAATTTGTGAGCCTGGAGTTATTTTTCAAATTATTGTGCTCTCCCATAATTCAGCGAGAATACTTTATCAAAATCTAGTTGGTTTTGGTGTTACCATTCACTTTGTCAAAGTTCAAGACGAAGCATGTGTTTGTATGGCTGTAACCTTTATGAATTGCAATATTAAAAGCCTTGAGGACTGTTTACATGTGCATTTTAGCTGTGTATTCTAGTCGTCCATGTTGATTACTTATGCTCACACTAATAATGTTATGCATTTTCTCTAGGTGGTTGCACACATGATGCCTGATCTTCCAAATGTAGGGGTTGAGAGAGACATGGAGAGTTTCCGGGAGTTCATTGAGAGCCCCTCGTTCAGAGCAGATGGGCTTAAAATTTATCCAACACTCGTGATCCGTGAAACTGGACTCTATGAGCTTTGGAAAACGGGCAGGTATAGAAATTACCCAACTGAGCAACTTGTGGACATTGTTGCTCGGATCCTAGCCATGGTCCCCCCTTGGACGTGTGTTTATAGAGTTCAGCGAGACATTCCAATGCCTTAGTTACTTCTTGGGTTGAGAAAGGAAATCTTCGGGAGTTAGCTTTGGCTCGGATGGAAGACTTGGACTTGAAGTGCCGTGATGTTCGAACACGTGAGGCTGGAATTCAGGTATGCGGGTAGTCATTCTTGTTTGAACATGTTTTATGCTACTGAAGCTACAAACTTAATCCCTCAAATCCCTAGAAAATTCTTTACTGAACATTTGGTGGTTCTAGGACATACATCGCAAAATTAGGCCAGACCAAGTGGAGCTTGTTCGTCGTGGTTTTATGGCAAATGAAGGATGGGAAACATTTCTTTCATATGAAGATACTCGCCAGGTATTCGTTCTTTATATGAGAGAGAGTGCTTCGTCACACGAAATGATCATTCTATTCTTGTCATGTGCAGAAGTGTTGAGCTGATGGAAGATAAACACTTAAAAAGATTATGATTGTAATATTGAGTAGAATATCTAATTTAATTTCGCTTCAGCATATATAGATGAACTGAGGATCTCACTTTTCCAGAACTTCTTGTTTCTCTGATTTGCATAGTAATTTGTGCACAGAATCTTAAGGCTTGGGTTTTCTAGTTGTTTATACTGACACTTACCATGATTTGTTTTTGTTCTTTTGTAAACAGGATATTCTAGTTGGGTTACTGCGATTAAGAAAGTGTGGCCGGAACACTACTTGTCCCGAACTCATGGAGAAGTGTTCTATTGTTCGTGAACTCCATGTTTATGGGACTGCTGTTCCAGTTCATGGGCGGGATTCTGACGAGCTGCAACACCAGGTAATATATCTTGTACATCAACTGTTTTAACTTTTATGTTACCGTAAGTGTTGAGATGAATATATTGGGGGTAATGTGCTCCATCAAACTTCAGAAAATCATGGGAGTATTCTCTCTAATAACATGTTCCCTTTTGATGGAGGAGGCCGAGTGATTGCTAGCAGGGAGCATAGATCGAAAAAGATTGCTTTTATTTCTGGAGTAGGAACTCGTCATTGCTAAAAGAAATTAGGCTACGAGCTCAAGGGCCTTACATGGTCAAACATCTCGTATGACGAGATAAAGAAAACTAGTTTTCATACAATTTTGTAACATTATCCGAAACAGGTTGTAACTTGCATTGCATAACCAGTCTGTCTGTTTTGAGATTCCAATAGTGTGTGCTATTTACTCTCTCATTTTGGTCACCTCTTTTTAATTCCATTCTCTCAACTTTGGTCTTCCCATTTTACGTAGGGTGGTGGCACACTTCACCTTGTATATTTCTCGCTCCTCTTAATTTCCGCCGGTCAGATCGAATGTATAGAAAAATATTAAATGACAGAAATTAACAGGAAGTGTGTAAGAGGTAAAAAGGAGTGTCAATATCACCACCCTTTTTAGATTGTTGTAAATGTCATCCATTGATTCACCTGTTTGGCTCACGTTCATACATGTTTGTTCGTTTGGTCTACTTTTGAGGACTTACATGGAACGGTTGACCGTCGCGTAGTGTTCTGGTGTCAATATTGCACATGAATGTTATAGTGATAATGAACTCATTTCAAAGAAGTTTTCCTCTTATTTGAGACGTAGAATAATCAATTCAAATTTAAAATGGTAAAAATAGATGAAGATATTCACAGGATGACTAAAATGAGACACATTTTGAAATAATAATTAAACTCTTCAAATTTGAGCCACTTAAACAATGTTGGAATGATATTTTCACATCACTTAAACGTCGCCGTCTCGTGTTTCATGTAAACCAGGAAGGCCACTGCCAATTTCGCAATATAAGGTGAAAGCTATTCGCTCCCATTTTCTCAACCTCTCCCGCCAAACGCCTATCGCAGCCGAATCCACCGCCACACGCTACCTTTTGTTGGATATATATCAACAATATGTGATAAAATTATTTATGCTAATAAATAATAAATATAAATAAAAAATTAACAGAGTATGAACAATGAAATAATATTAAATAGAAATATTGAAAATCGAGGCTTGCATACCATAATGTCCTTGAAACAGAAATTTCTTCTCTGCTCAGTGCTTGTAGTTCTACAGACATCTGTTTCATCATGATTCAACGATCAAGTCAGAATTCCAGCACCGGAAAAATTGACTTCTGGCGAATTTCTATGTGGTTCTCTCAGTAAGAATGTTTTGGATTATAGAAGAAGAATTGTTTGTTTTGTATTCTAAATGTCATGCAAATGGATGTATATATAATATGATTATGTCTGTTAGCAACATGTATGAGAAAGGGATGCATCTATTAGGAGACATCTTCTCATAGGAGTGTTTTCTTTTTGCGTTTTTTCACTCCAATCACTTACTATAAGGAATAAAACCTTACAAAGTGAGAAAACCTTTTAAGAATGACCGGGACAAAAAATTTCTACTCAAAATTTCCAACACCTTTCACCTGATTCGCACACACCGCGCCAACCGTTCGACAATATGCCTCAACCAAACCCCCCGCCATTATTCTTCCGTCTCCCACTTCCGCCTACATCCACCTACCTTTCTGCCGGAAGCGCTGTCACTGCTGCGACTTCACAATCGTCGCCCTCGGCGCTGCTTCCGCCCAAACCGAACACGACCCGCGAATGACAAACTACGTCCAGTTACTCTGCCGGGAAATCAACTCCACGAAAGCAGAAAACAAGACCGACCCGCCTCTGGAGAAGGTATTTTTTTGCAGCGGCACGCCATCTCTTGTGCCGCCAAAGCTCGTGAATTCCGTTTTGGAGACGTTGAGGTTGAAATTCGGGTTGAGTTCCCTGGAAATGTAGGAAATGTGTCAGTTTATGAGTTGCAAGTCGAACAAGGCACAAAATCTACGGTTTTAGTTTTGGAATGAATTTGGTCCTGAAGTTGGAGTTTTTTGTTTAAGGTATACACCAGGGTTCCCGTTGCCTTCAGAAACGCGGTCTGCTGAGTTCTATAAGATGGCGTCTAGGACGCTTTCGGATATCACTGCAAACACAATCTAACTTATTGGAAGAACAAGCCTTTCTATGCTCTCGGCCTTGGCTCCGCTAGCCTATGTCGATGGCGTGAGGTTTTCGAGACCAAAGAGGATGAAAGAGTACACAGGTTATGTGGAGAATATGGAGAATGATTTGGTGGAGTGCGGTGAGAGTCCCCGTACGGTGCAGGACATGGCCACGGATCGTCGTTATGATCCCTCTTTGAATGAAGAGAAAACATTACATTTATGTACAATTATTGCTTCGCTGAATTATATTTAACAAATTCGTACTTTGGTGGACTAGGATTCTCTCCCCTTCTCCTTTCATCTTCTTCTATCTCCTGTTCTTACATTCTCTTATTTTATCTTTCTCTTGCTATAAAAATTTAATATAAGTTGTTGACGTGACTTAACCGTAACCGTTCAAATAGGAGAGGAGGGAAGGCGAGGGAAAAAAAGAGGGAAGAGAATCCTACTCCCTCATAATGAGCTACCACTAATGTGATTCAAATTCGTTTTTTATGATAATCGAATTTAAAACATCTCACTTATAAATGAAGAAGAATATCACTAGATCGTATTACTAAGTATTTATTATAATTAGTATTATAAATAATAAATAAAACAAAAAATAATAAAAACTGAAACAAAAAAAAAAGAAGAAAAAACCGTACCGTTCAAACTTCGAAGTTAGGGGGAGGGTAAGAGGGAGACTTCCCTTTCTCTCGCATATCTCCTGGTTTTTTTTTTTGTTTTTTGGTAAAAAAACCTTCCTGATCTGTACTCTCTAGAAACTCATGTGTTATTACCATTTGTCGGACGATATGTTTTCCCGCTTGTTCAGATTGTTCTCACGCTTGGCCAATGAGAGAAAGAATCGTTCTCCACAATCTAATTTATCACTCAAAATACCAAGAATGAAGAATTAGGGTTTTGGGTTTAGTTTTGTTTACCGAACAAAATAATTCAAAAGATCAAGCGATTGTTCGATACGCTTTGTGTGCTTCTTAATTTTGTATCAATCGAATCAAATCAACATGTGATAAAGACAGATTTTCTCTCCTCCTCCTTACGTTCGTGACCAGTTGATTTTTTTTTCCCTTTGAGTTTTATTGGATTAGTTGATTCTTATTTATTTAATATAATTGTTTATTTATTACTTATAATTCGCATCATCATCCATGTCACTTAAGGTTTAAAATTTTCAACATTAGTCTTAATCAAGACCATTGAATGTCATAAAATCTAATTGCTAAAAAAGAGTGTAAAAATATTTGTCCCTTAATCTTATTCTATATGTATTTTTATATATGAATATAAATGATTATCTATTAATTTTTCAATACGGTATGATAATATCGTCGGTAATATTATCGAATACCAATATTGTACCTAAAATTTCAGTTTGCTACAATACTGTGTCATTATCAATTGGCACAAAATTAATATGGTATGGTTGTCAATCGGTGGACACAATAATTTGACAAAAAATATTCACGCTAGAGTTAGTAACTCACTCGTGATAAGTGTTGAATCAGAAACTAAAAAAGTAATTGAATTTTACTGGAAGTGTATATAAACTTTTGTAATGTGAATTAAAATTACAATGTGCTTGAGTGATTTTTCAAAATCTTGTGTATGTTATTTGAAATAAGAGTTTTCGATTATATTTTTAATTTATTCGTGCACCAATTATTTTTCTACCGATTCCAAATTCAAGAGGATTCTCTTTGGATCTTCTTTATGAGGGCTCTGAGTATCCTTAAATCGGAATTATTCATCGTAGATCGTATGGTTAGTTTTGGTCAGGTACTATTCATATTTAATTTAAAATAAAAGTATTAAAATAATTTTTAACTGTACGATATGAGATGAACAAACACGATTTAAGAATTCTCAAGATCTACACAAAAAAAATCCGAAAGAGGTCTCACAAAAAAAATCCGTGTAAGATTCTCAAAGAAGATGCTCCTCATTCCAAATTCGAATCTAGCGCAACTTTGATAGGACCCCACCTCGTAATTAGTGTCGGCGAGCAAAATACATCATACGCGGTTTCAGTTCCACGGTTTACAAATTGCCACGTACATCACATTCTTTGTGCAAAGGTTTTTTGTCTTGGCTGAAATTATTGGTCTTTGTCAGAAGTATTCGTAAGAGCCAAAAAGTATAGGTATTTGTTTCATGACTTCCATCATAACCAGATATGAATCAATGTGATAGGTACACGAAATAGTACATTATGTGTCATTATATAAATAGTGAGATATATATATTAAAAAGTTAATAACTTAAAAAATAAAATTTCTCACCACTTCTATTAAAACACGTGATGTATCACTTGTATTTTCGTCTCAATGCAAAATTTCTTCATCATAACTTGCAATTGTTTCTAATTCTAAAGTGAATTTCTCTAATTTTACTTGTTTCTCCATCAAATCAAATGAGAATAGATAAGAGGTTTGTGGAATTGACGCGAGGGGTTAGGAATGGCTGTATTCTATGAGCAAGCTCCAATCCCTTCGTCGAATAGATAAGAGGCTCGTGGAATTGACATGAGAGGTTAGGAATGGCTATATTCTATGAGCGAGCTGCAGTTCCTTTGTCTCATATTTGATATTTTTATTTTCATTGACAAAGGAGCCCAACAATAACCACGTCAGAGCAACTGAAGCATATCATTGCAACTCTTTTGTGAGCTTCCATATGCCCCAGGGTATGTTATTCTACACTCTTACTACCACATCGAATATCCTTCTAGAAATTTTCTGGAAGAAAGTATAGGGGTTTATGAGCTACATCTGACTTTTGTTTCACCTTTTTTTCTTATTAAATATGTAATTCAGATTCTGAGCGTTCATCCTTCAACACAAGACTTCAAATTTGATTTCTTCTTCAACAACATTGCTGGTATAAAAAAAGGGGTAAGTTATTGATCTATACGCCATTAAGTTGAATTTGGTTGCAAGTCTAATCAATATTATTTGGTGTTTTATTTTAATAATTTAGCAAGCAAACGAGTTATATTCATTGTGCTTTTGTTGTTTTCGTATCATATTCGTCATTTTAACAGGTAATGTTGTGTCAAATCTATTGTCTTAATGAATTCTTAACAAGTGACCCAATAACGACTTAATTCGTTACCGAATCGTGTCGCCTCACTTCCATTTATTAGGTCATGCAAGAAATTAATATACCTAATATTTAAATATGGAAAACGACATCTTATCAGGCTCTTAATGGGCACCCGATAATGACCTTAGTCGTTAACAAATTGCACTAGGCGCTAGTCGGCAACAGGCATGAGCCTAGGCGATTTTTTAATTTTAATTAAATTTAGAGAATTGATATTGCGTATCACTTAGATTGACTGTTGACATTTCCATAGCCTCAATGTTCTCTTCATCAATATCTATCTGCACTAACCATAAACTAATAAACTGTGTAAATGGACAAGAATGTAGTAGCTGAGCAATATTGAGAAATCGATAAATGGAAAATACAATCTGTTTGTGGTTGTTAGTATTGAGTTTTTATAACATTATTAATATTAGCTAAAGCCCTTAAAAAACAAAACAAAACAAAAGGGAAAACCCCCTTGGACAATTAGTTGTCCCGTGCCCAGCAACCTCAAACCTCAACCATTCCTATATTCTATTTTATCTTGTTTCCATCTGACTATTCCCTATTCCTCTCATCTCTTCTAGAAACGAAGAACAAACACAACAGCTAGCCTTCTCAGGTATCCTTAAATTCTTATCCTTATCAAAAAATTTATTCAGAGAGAGTTAAGCGGTGGAATGATGTTTTCCTACTACGAGTTGAAACCTTCTTCCCTTTCTAGTGTAGCTCAGGGTATGTTTACTTAACGGAATGGAAACGAAAATGTTTCACTGGTCTTATGCAATGTAATAACTGTGAAATTAATAGATCAAACAGCAATGTAATAACTGCAGAATATTAGCTAATTTGACTCTAATGAAATGAAAACTGCAATGCAGAGTTGTATCTGCATAACTACAGAAAATTAACTGCAATGCAACGTACGTTTGGACCTTCAAGAAAGTGGTACTTCGAGAAATTATTATGCAGTGCAGGTATAGCAAAGAACCCATTTATTAGCTTGACATTTCAGATACTGAAACACCAAACCAGAAGAACACAAACATCTCTTAATATTCATGAATGCCTTCATTGTTAGAAACTTAGAAGGCCAACCAGCGTATTCCGAAATAAGCATGCACAAAGAACTTGTATCATTGAAACCCAGTTAACCACTATAGCATAAACAGTCCAATTAACGAGAAAAAAAAACACAAAATATGCCGATTAAGTTATGTAATTTAATGATCATCAAGAAATAAAGTAAGGAAATTGAGAGAAATTGAGAGAGCAGCACAATAAAACCCTAGAAAGCCCAAAATCTCCAATCCAATCACACAAAAACCCTAGTAATTGCCATGGAAGAAGAGGTGGAAGGGAATAGGAGCTTACTGAAGAGAGTGGTAATTTCTGAGGAAGAAGATGAGGGAGAGAACGGCAGCCAGAACCAGAAGCAATTTCGTTATCCCGTACTGCAATAGTGCAGTACTGCAGTATTGTGCACGTCGTCGAGTTGAAGAAGACGCCGGAGTGGAAGAAGATAAAGGCACGCGGAGGACTTGGAGGAAGAAGATGAGGGCACGCCGAAGTGGAAGAAGACGCTGGAGAGAGTGGTAATTTATGAGGAAGAAGATGAGGGAGAACTTCTTAGAGATGGCGTGCTTGTACTGCAATAGTGGAATGCGAGACAGAGTGAGGGTTTCATTATTGACTGCTGAAATTACACAAAAACTCTAAATAACGGGTGTTAATGGGTTTCGCAGGTTCACTCAAAATGATCCGTTATTTAACAGGGTGCTTAACGGGTTGACCCATTAACCACCCAACCAGTTAAACATTCACACGAATACTTATTTTAACGGGTCAGGTCAGGTCGGGTTTGAAATGCCAAGTCTACCCACGACGTAGGGTTATTTTGCAGAGTAATGGGTAGCGGTTAGAGAAGAAGGTTGCAGGTTATGTAGCAATGTAGGCATTGCACTCGAGAATAGGATTGCCACCCTTTGTTGTAAGCTATTTCCGCTGAGCTCTAATGTATATTATATGAATGAGTCTCAATGACTCTATGTATTTTATATTGTACCGCTACTGTTCTATCATCGCATGTCGATTCCAGGCGTATCTCGGGATCGGGGCGACACACTATTACAATATATATATATATTGAAAAAATAAAATGCAAAATGAAAGTTATCTATTTTCTGTAAAGCCTATAACAATTTATTGAAAAAAATGAAAGTATGCAACAAGTCTATTACAATATCTTGAAAAATAAAATGCAAAGTGAAAGTTATATATTTTATGTGTAAGCGGGTCTAGACAGGTGCCTAAGTAGGTCTAGGCACCCTTTCTTAATTTTCAAATTCCTAGGCATTAATCGGGCAGTGGCCAACCGCCTAGTGTCGCGGGGATTTTTAGAACAGTGGTTAATGTGTTGACCCAAAACCTATTTCCATGTCATTCAGTGTCTGATTAACAGGGTCTTGCAAAAAATTGTCTAGCATTTGTGTAGAGTTAAATCTACCATACCCAAGACATTCCGTTCTTCTTTTCGACGTGTGTACTTTCATTTAACAACAATTTTGTGGTACTTGTCAACAGCCACCTACAAAGAATTGAAACTTTTTGTTATCCTTAACACTGACAAAAATCCATGACATTTGGTCGAAGAATTAGATTGACTGAGTTCGTCAATCATAGATTTTTGTTCTTGAACCAAATTCTTTAATTCTGTGTTCTTGCAAAAAAGAGTCGAGAAGTAGTTTTCGGACTTTTGAAGTTTGTCCCTTTGTTCGAAAGTTAAGAACAGCAATTTAAATTTCTTAAGTAGGTTATTGAGATCTTGATTTCTTTTGGCTTGTGGTTTCGTTTTGAAAACTAAGCACATAGTTTGTAAAATACAAAAATTTATCCATTGCAATTCTTTTGTTCTTTTTCTGTTGTTTTGAAACTTGTCTATTCTGCAAACAGATTGCATGCCAAGTATCGAAGGCCAAAATGGAGTCAGCTGCATCACTATTGATTGGGAAAATTGCAGCCATTCTTGAGAACGAAGCATCTTCCATAGCGGCAGTCCGTGATGAAGTTGACAAGCTTAAGCTGGAGCTCATAAGCATGAAATCTTTCTTAATAGATGCTGAAGGCAAGGAACCACAAACAGAAGGAGTGAAAACGTGGGTTACAAGCGTCAGAGATTTGACATGCGATGCGGAAAATGCCATTGATGAGTTCCTGTATCACATATATGACAAGCAAAGTGCGACCCCATTTGCAAAATTGCTCCACAGAACCATTTACTTTCCGAAGAATCTTTGGTATAGGCGTCGAATAGCCAAAAAATTACAAAAAATCACAATAAAGATCAAAGCCATTCCAGAGAGGAATGAGAGATATGGTGTCTCTACAATAGAAGGAACAAGTTCGGACAGTGTTTCCAGATGGGTTAAGAACAAAGCCGTGTCTTCTCTTTATATTATGGAAGACGAACTAATCGGGATTGAAGACAAGAAGCAAACGTTAATGGGATTGTTGATGAATGGAGAGGAAAATGAAATGGTTGTGTCTGTGGTCGGGATGGGAGGATCAGGCAAGACAACTCTTGTTGCCAATACCTTCAACAACGAAAATGTAAAGCGACATTTTGACTGTTATGCATGGATCACTGTTTCTCAAACTTACGTGATCGAAGACTTATTCAAAAATCTGATCAGGCAATTCCACCAAGGAAGAAAGGAAGCGTTGCCTGAACATTTGAATTCCATGAGTTATGAAGAATTGTTAGACATGTTGTCGACATACTTGAAGTCTAAAAGGTACCTCGTTGTATTGGATGATGTGTGGGATATTAAACTTTGGCAAGAAATAAGGATACCACTTCTTAATAGACATCATGGAAGTCGAATCATGCTTACAACTCGAAAGAAAGACATAGCTTTCTATTCTTTTGAAGTTGAATGTCGTCCTCTTGAAATTGAGCCCTTGGAAAACAATGAAGCTTGGAATCTCTTTAGCAAGAAAGCATTCTCAACTTACGATAACAAATCTTGTCCGCCAGAGCTTGAATCATTAGCATGGAAACTTGTGGAAAAGTGTGAAGGCCTACCTCTGGCATTAGTAACTCTAGGTGGTCTAATGTCTTCCAAGAGGTCATCTTCGGAATGGAGAAGAGTATACAGCAGCTTAAATTGGCACTTGACTAACCATCCTATGCTAGAACCAATGAGCAGCATCTTGTTGCTTAGTTTCAACAATTTGCCCAACCGGTTGAAGCCCTGTTTCCTATATTGTGCCCTTTTCCCAGAAGATTATCTCATCAAAAGAAAAAGGTTGATCAGGATGTGGATAGCTGAAGGGTTTGTTGAACCAATAGATGGGGTCACACCAGAAGAAGTTGCAGAGGGCTATCTTGTGGAACTTATTGTTCGTAGCATGCTACAACTTGAAAAGGATGAAGCTGGAGACTAGAAGGATACAAGATGCATGATCTTGTGCGTGAGCTTGCTTTGTCGACATCAAAAAAGGAAAAGTTTGGTGCTGCATGTGTTGGCAGAGAAATAGTAAATAAAGCTGAAATCCGCCGATTGTCAATTCAAACGACTGAAAGAGAAATTAATTCTTGCACAGGTATGTCAGAGCTTCGTTCCTTTCTTGTCTTTGGCGCGTTAAAGAAATTGCCTTCTGGATTCAAGTTGTTGAGAGTTCTAGATGTGCAGGATGCCCCAATTGATAGATTTCCAGATGAACTAGTGTACTTGTTCAACTTAAGATACTTAAGTTTGAGGGGAACTTTAATTGAGGAGCTTCCAGAATCCATCGGACGGCTTCGCAACCTTCAAACCTTGAACATCCGTGACAGTAAGATAAAGGCACTTCCGAAAGCAATCTCCAAGTTAGTAAACCTACGCCATCTAATCATGCATTGTTACATTGTTGATTGGGCAGCCTTTAGATATGTCAATGGGACAAAAGCAAGCATCCGATCTAAGTAAATTACAGAAACTGCAAGTTTTGGATTCTGTTGAATCAGAAGGAAAGATTATTAAAGGCATCAGGAATATGACCCAACTTACATGCCTCGGTATTACAAATGTGAAAGCAAGTGACGAGATGGATCTATGTGACTCCCTTCAAAAGTTAGAGCTCCTTTGCTCTTTGTTTTTAATGGCAAGTGACGAAGAGGAGTTTCTTCGAGTTAATGCACTACGTTCGCCTCCTCCAGACCTTCAAAAGGTTTATTTGGCCGGAAAACTAGAAAAGGTACCTCTTTGGTTTGGTTTACTCCATAACCTGACAAATATGCAACTAATTTGGTCTAGACTTGAAGAAGATGTGCTGCCTCACATTAAAGCATTGCCGAATCTTGAAATGCTTGAGCTATTTAATGCATATGTTGGCGAAAAATTGTGTTTCTCCAGAGGTTTCATAAAGCTTAAGCATTTGAGGTTGAGCAACTTCCCCTTACTGAATAGTATAGCTATAGAGAAAGGGGCGATGCCAAATCTCCAGGTCTTACACATTGGGAACTGCCTGGAATTAAAGGCATTCCCGCAGGGCATTGAGTTCCTTGCTAACGTAGAACGCTTGAATCTGGTGTCTGTTCCAATGCAACTTATAGAGTCCGTAAGAGTGGGCATGGATCATCCAAAGGTTCAACATATTACTGAAATCCACCTGGAATATGAGAGAGAAAATATGTGGTGTCATGAAATCTTGCCTGGTATTCACTCTCGTAGAAGGTACGCACACTTTTATCCTTGCATAAAAATTTGATTAATGCTAGACTTATCACATTTTTTTGCATCATATTTGAACCACCTCTTTTATAAAGGTAGGGTCGATCGACATATATAGGTCTCATTTCTATTAAAGAGATGATACAAATATGGTATGAAAAATGTGGTAAAAGTAGCATTTTTGTAAAAAAAAAAAAAAAAAAAAAATTCCATAACATAATCATTTGAACTATTACATTAGAAAGCTAAAAGGTTGGTGATTTTCATACTCCTATTTTTTTCTAATGCCTCATCTTGTTTTTGTTCGTTATTGTTTTGATTTATTCAATTGTTAGGCTACGAAAAAGAGGAAGTAGTGCATCGGAGTGTAAAAATCATTTTTGCTTACAATTTGCATATCCAATCTCATACAGAAGTCTGGCAAAGACATAAAATATGCATGCATTGAGATTTTATTCGGTTACTATGTTTCTTTTATTTTGTAATATCCTTTTTGTAGAATCAAGCCTCAGAAGCACTTGTGAGATTGCAGTGAGTTCTCCTTTGTGCAAGTTGATTTTGAGGTGAATCTCCACTTTCGTTATAGTAACAAAGCTGACTATATACATGTCGAGTCATTTACCTTGAAAGGAAAAATATGTCTGTTGTTTGTGTGTTGTGTAAGTTGCAAACATTGATCGATCTTGGTTTCTTATTTGCCCTTGTGAAATTGAATAATGTCCAAGATTCAAGATTCTATTTGTGTAACTGAAACTTATATTATTGATTGTTTGCGTGTGTTTGGATGTTATAATATTGATTTAGAACTTAATTTGTCACTGATGAGAATAATGTCTAAGATTCTATTTGTGTAACCGAAACTTATATTATTGTTTGCTTGCATGTATTTTGATGTAATAATATTGGTTTGGAAATGAATCTGTCATTGATGAGATCAATACTAACTAAACCAATGATTATGACCCATTTTTCATTTTCAATATTTTTTTTATCAAGTTTCAAATATACATTGTTTTAGAGAGGCAAATTTTATGGCGGATATTTTAGCTCACTATGATTTTACCTGAGAAATTATTAGATGGTATTGTATTACCACGTCAGCCGGTGATACTTCTATTTAAATTTTAACATGTGTGCAGTTTCTTACAGTTGGATTAAAAAGCTTTTTTTAATAAATTTTTTTTTTTCAGTTTAAACAAAATTAAAAGAACTAAAAATAAGAGGCGTTTGGACACAAATGCCTAGCTTTTAAAATTTTGAGATAACCTCTTTCCTCCCCTCCCTCTTCTCTCCCATGGTGAGTGTAGTGCTGCCAGTATCCAAGCCCATCGGAAAGCAACCCCGACAGGGTAAGGGCAAACTCGAGGCCCATGGACTATCCGAAGAAGAGGCCTGGGTCCGAGCCATCGCCGAAATCGTCAGCTCCATGGTCTACCTTTCCCGGAAGGACCAAAACGTCGACATAAACGCCCTCAAGACCACCGCGTGCCGCAAGTACGGCCTCTCACGTGCGCCAAAACTGGTCGAAATGATTGCGGCTCTGTCGGAGTCGGACCGTGAAGCTCTTCTCTCCAATCTCCGGACCAAGCTGGTCTAAACCGCTTCGGGCATCGCCGTCGTGGCTGTGATGTCAAAGCCTCATCGGTGCCCCCACATTGCCACCACTGGAAATATTTGCGTGTACTGCCCCTGCGGTCCCAATTCGAACTTCGAGTACAACACTCAGTCTTACACTGGATACGAGCCTACTAGCATGTGCGCAATTCGGGCAAGGTATGGCTTTCCCTAGTTCATTGACGCATTTTATCGAACACTTAGGGAATTCAAGTTTTATGTTATTTATGATTCGTTTCAAAGTTTAACGTTTTCAGCTTGATTGTGTTCAGGTAGAGTCTTCTGGGTCCAGTCCCTCGCACAGCTCCCCGAGGGAATTGGCACTTGGTTGGTTGTCGGGCTAGTTCTTGTTGCTTGGTGTGTTGCAAGATGAATTTACAGGTAGTTTGAATGGTGTCTTTGTGGGGCCTTTGGTGTAGGCCTTGAGGCTCACAATCAAAACTAACAAAGAGCTAGGCGTGCCACTTTTATCTTTACATAACAGATTGTCGAATAGAAGTGAATTAAGTTGATTATTTGCGTTCCAACTTACTTAAACTTCTTATTATCAAAGGATTGTCACATACAGGTTAAGTCTGCATTAGATTATTTTCTTGCCTTG